TGCGTCAGCAGAGGATCGAACCCCGGACAGTGTGCATGGTTGGCGAGAGTCCTAACCATTGAGACATCGACGCCAGTAAAGATCTACTGTTCTTCTATATTACTATTCTTTCTCCCACAAACTTCTGTTTATTATCTCTTTTTTGAGTATCTCCTTACTCACCTCTTTTACTTTATGTGCTACATGGAGGTAGTGTGGAACTCCAAATGCTGCAAAACTGTGCAGCAGTCAATGGGTCAGTCACTATCAAATAAATGAATAGTATTTTACTAATTATTCATAAATGTCAGGTAGACGTTTGCTGTAACCAAAAGCCACTAAGATTTGACCAGCTGCTGTTTTTGTTATATAAAATTAATAAGATTCAACCACACTTCTTTTCTGCTAGTTATTTTGTCTGTTTGAACTGAGGGAGATTTCGCTTTTTAAAGTCTCGTACTTGTGATCAAAGCCAATTTGATTTTATTTTAACCAAACATTGATGCATCACCACTTCACTCTATTCTTTAAAGTCTTTTTCAGCCAGCTGCACGGTTGTCCGTAAACTTTCATCTTCTCCACACATGATCTCCTCTATGTTATCCTCGAACCCATGCCCTACTCGTCTTTTCACATTAGAATTCCACCCAAGCCACTGGATAACTCGTGATACCACTCAACGCTTTTCTCAGTGTGTTCCTCACCGATCGATCATCATTTTATTCGAGATGTTTGTTGGTTCATTGGTTGTAAGTTGATTTTTTTCCGGACTTCCTTTTTGTTGATTCTTTCCTGGCGTCTATTTGGCCTTCATTATAGAGTCAGAGAAAGTAGCTGTTTAGAAAAGTCTGCAACTTGTTCGAAATCATTTTGCTAACCCATGTAGGAGAAAGTACTTAATATTGATGCCGAAAATTCGAAGTTTGTTGTTTACACTGAGTACAGCCGATTTACAAAGTGACTTCAGATTGATGAAGGTCTATTCGAGGTTACTGATCCTGACTGGTTGTGATATCCTCATCTATGCTGTCGCCTGTAGTTGAAACAATGTTACCTATATAGGTGATAAGTTAAAATCCTCACTACAGTTTGAAATAAAAACTGGCAAAGTGAAGAAATGAATTGCGATAGGCTATGTGAGTGTTAAATTTGGAAAATATCAGTAGTCTGTTGAATTGTCAAAATCCTGGAGTATATGCACTGAAGAAAATGATATTAGATTTTGAATTTGTGTTTTGGAATAAGTTTTGGTGTGCCTATAAAGACTAAGGATACAGATTCTTTTATATCCTACTCAGCATTTACCTCATCCTACTTTTAGAGACTTTCAAAAACGATGAGTGAGGTTTCCAGTTAGCATAAATCGAAGAAATCTGAAATAAGCAATCTTCTCGACCTACCTACCTTCTTGGGAAGCATCGTTTCAAATACAGGCGAATGGAACTGGTGAGGATATCAAAGTGAAGACCGGAAAAGAAAGGCAGACCTTCATTTCTCTGAAGTCTGTGTGGAGTTCAACAGTACTCAGCATGAAGCATAAGATCCAGATTTTCAACTCCAGTGTGAAGTCAGTTCTACTATAAGAATGGATCAGAGATTTGGTGCTACGCCGTGTCTCGTAGGGCACTTCGAACAATCTTCAGACCTTCATCAACATCTGTCTTCACTCAATACTCGGGATCAGATCGCTCTGGCCAGGAAATCGGCAAAATGGAGTGATCTATGGAAATTGGCGAACCAACTCATCAGGAACCAATTGTACAACAAATATGCAGGAATAAATGGAGGTGGGCTGACCATACTCGGACAGAACAAACCATCAAGTGAGTGACATCACATGTCAGGTCATGAGAAGCGTCAAGTTGGTCATCGATGGGAGGGTGACATGGAGGAGGTTATATAAAGTGGAGATGAAAGCATATGGGGAGGCGTGGGGCCAGGCAAAAACGCTGGTGGAGAATGGAACGCAATGGAGACGTGTGGCTGAAGCCCTATGTTCCTGTAGGAACTAAAGCTAACAATAATATAATAATAATTATGCAAAAAGGTTTACAGATGCAAAGATCGTTCAGCTTTAATAAAACATTATATAAAATGCTTACGAAGCAACTCTTCAAAATTATTCCAAAGCTCACTAGTGACTTATTACAGGAGGAAAGTGCCTGTGGAAATGAGAAGATAAAAGACTACGTAAAGGACACTTATTAAGGAAAAACACGTTGTGTTTATACCTTTTTAGACACAATAAAGTCCGGTTAGGTCAGAAGACAATAAGTCGTTCTGATTGGTTGGCAACCTACCCGAGGTTAAAGAAGTTGCCCCATGAGATTGTTTCGTGTCCACAGTGTAAACTGAATCTAGATTTGAGGGAGCCATTGACTTAAAGTGTTGATTTCAGTTTCGGCCGCTTCCTATCAACGTGCACCTGTGGCCTGTTGTGACCTGTGGGATTCATTCGGTAGGATATGAGGACAAATACTAGCCAATGACAGTGGCTAGTGGTCACGCCAAATTCACGAATTTTGAGGAGGTAGAATACATGAGCCATTGAATTCTGTCCTAATTAATGAGTTTATCTTGTAAGCTGAAAGTCCTGCCCTCAGTCGTTGGCGGAAGGGGAATGCCATAAGTGTGCTCAGCTGTAGAGATCTTAAATTCATAGAAAACAACTCTCCAGTACTCCTACCTGGTTTTCAGCCATTCTCTAACTAATACCATTCCGTAGTCGTACTTGGAACGAATCGAATCCCTATACACTAAATCTTGAAAGTGTAATGTCTTTTGTTTTTGATGAAATTAGGCGGTTAGAGGTAATCAGCCACAGGAAGCTTCGGACCTAGGTCTCGTGCTAGTTGGTACTCTCCGGACAGCAAAGCACACATACAACCCTAAAGAAACTCATGTCCCTTCTAAGACTTCAACCCGTGTCAGCTAATTCTGCAGTCAGAGACGTTACCACTGAGGTATTCAGGCTCGTGACTAACCTCATTTGGGACTGTATTGGATACCTTTGATTGGCCACTAGTTAGCAATTAGTTTAATGTGTCTAATCCTCTGTTTGTCGCTGAGTGAATTCTGTCACTCACGTTTGCAAAGTGGTCACCTCTGACTGCAGAACTGGGTGACACGGGTTCGCAACTCAGAAATGACATGGGTTCCTTCAAGGTTGCAGACACGCCTTGCAGACTGGTGAGTGCTATCTAGTACGAAACCTAGGGAGAAGGCTTCCTGTTGATCACCTCCAACCATCTAAATTCGGCAATTCAAAATACAACCTCATGGCGAGCCACCTAGTGGTATGGTGGCCACATGGTACAAAGAGCTAGATACGTTACACTATTTACTAACTAGTGTGCAATCAAAAGTATCTTTCGTTTTTACTGCCAAAAACAAAGTACTAAAGATTGGTGCGTAATTCGTAAAATGCTGCAGACACATACCGAAGTGGTAGACAAACTTTGATTACATTTTTCTTTCAGTTAACATGGATGAAAAACAGAAAAAGAAGAATAACCTGGCGAGTTATATATATATATATCTTACATATACATCACCTCAGAGAAAACAGTGATGGTAAAGATTCCTGGGCAACACCAACAGCAACAACAACAGACAGCAGTCAGCATAAATGGGAGGAACCTGAAAGAAACAACGTCCTTACTTACCTGAGAAGCATCGTTTCAACTACAAGCGGACGGAACTAGTGAGTACATCAGAGCAGTGAGGATCGAGAAAGCCAGACAAGCTTTCCTTACTCTCAAGTCTTTATGGAGGTCAACAGCACTCAGCATGAAAATGAAAATAAGATCCGGATTTTCAACTCCAATGTGAAATCAGTGCTACTTACGATACGGATCAGAGACCTGGTCCCACGCCGCATCACGAAGGGCATTTCAAACAAACTACACACCTTCATCAACAGCTGTCTTCGCTCAATACTAGTCAAGATCAGATGGGAGGCTAGAAGAGATCAGAAACAGTGATCTCTGGGAACGACCATCCAACCCAACAGGAACCGATTGTGTATCAAATGTGCAGATAGAACATAACATAACATAACATAACATAAGCTTTATTCCAAATCAGTACTTGTGATACAGAATGGAATTCTCAGCATTTTACTACAATATTGCATCCAGTTTTTTTACATTAACAATAAATAAAGTTCTACATAGTTTAAAGTTATCTCAACAACATATTAGCATGTCGGTAGCAAAGCCAAAATTAAAGTGTTTGAAGGTGTTAGAAAAGTAGATACTACTAGCATATTTACTGGCGTAAGCGATAGCAAAATGTTCGAGATGTACAGAGTGTGAAAGAACGAACAAGAATGTTTTAAGTAGAGTTTGCAAGGAAGAGAGAAACAAAACAGCACATAACAAAAATAAATACAGAATGAAAGAGCGAGAAAACGTTGTACCTATAAATGATGTGAGTTGGAAAGACAAGATCCATTGGTTCTACTGACTATTTAATAAGTTAAAGGTTTCATGCCTGATGCATTCTTTATCGCACAGAACACGAGCTAAGTAGGGTATGGATGAGTTTTTGTACTTACTAGTGCGGGCATATAGTTTCCTATATAGGCTTCTTGTTTTCCCTGAAGAGATACATGGGGACAGTTGTGAATGTAGAGGGTGTTGTGAGTCAGATAAAATGGATTTCGCCCATCTTTCACATGAGTCCATATGCCTGTCCACCAGAATATTAACTAGCTGGCTAAGTGGCAAGCTGCTTACCCTGCTGACAACCTTTAACATCCTACGTAATAAGGTATAGTCTTTCTTCAATAGCCCAGGAAAGACTAAGGGGGAGCAATAGAGAATAATAGGCAGAATACGGGAGTTAACAAATTGTAGGAGTAGGGGTTGGGTTACACCAGAATGCCTTAACTTCTTGATGTAGAAGGTAAGACGGTATATTTTCTTGGAAATCGTCAAGATATGAGACGACCAGGAAAGATCAGAAGATAGATTGACGCCTAGGTATTTAATTTCCGACTTGGTTTCTATTTCACTGCCATCTATGTTGCACACCTCATGAGTGCTAACCAGTTTGTTTAGGTCAGATTTATGCCTAAGGGTGAAATTAACTGTTTGGCATTTGGAGGGGTTTAAGGTTAGACCGTTTTCCTTGGACCATTGGCTAATTTCCGATAAGAAGCCATTTAGTTTAGAGCAGTCACTTTGACATTTGACAGGTAAAGATACAGTTAGGTCATCAGCATATTTGACAAAGTTAATGTCATTTGAAGACGGTAGGTCATGTAGGAAGAAAGAAAAGAGAAGTGGGGAGAGTACAGCACCTTGGGGGACACCAGCTTCAGTGAGCACAGCAGAGGAGGATTGGCCTTTGTATACGGTGTACTGCATTCTGTTTGAAAAGTAGGAATGCAACCAGTTAGTGACCCAGGACTCGGTTTGTGTCATGGAGAGCTTATTTAGCAAGAGACTTCTAGGTACAGAGTCGAAAGCAGAAGTAAAGTCAAGAAACGTGCAGCGGACATATTTGGCACCTTTGTCTAATGATGAGATAATACTGTTGTGTAAGACGGCTGCAGCGTCTAAAGTACTCCTACCCTGTCTGTAGGCAAATTGTTTGGGGTCTTCGAAGCTTTTAAGGGAGGGTTCGAGTTTAAGAAGTACTAGTTTTTCCATGAGCTTTAGAAACGGGGAAGTGATGGCGATGGGTCTGAACTTTACGTTCTTGCTATTTCCAGGTTTAGGGACAGGGACTATTTTAATGTCTTTCCATGGAACAGGTACAACGTTTTCACGGAAAGAAGCATTTAATATATTAGTTAGAGGAGAACATAAAGCATCTGCACATTGTTTTAGAACATATGCAGGTATGCTATCAGGGCCAAGACTATGTGAGGGCTTAAGAGTTTTAAGACATTTCAAAACATCGAGAGTATTGAAGTCCTGGAAGTTATCAGCTACAAGATTGGTAACGTTAGAAGTGGTTATAGTAGAAGGAGAGCGTAAAAAAGACAGATTAAGAGCATTAACATCACAAGAGGGAAAAACATTACATCGCTTACTTTTGCCAGTAATTTCATTGAAAAGTTTCCACATGCTGTTAGGAGATTTGCATGATAAAAGTGTTTGGTTATAGATAGCATTAAGATTTTTGATTTCAGATTTGATTTGAGCATTAATCTTTTTAAGTCCTAACTTGTCTTTGCATTTATATAACATTTCTTTTTGCCTGCGAAGTTGTTTGAGACGGGGAGACGAGAAGCGGTCGAGGCGTTTGAACAGTGTTTGTTTGGGACAGCATATGTCGAGGCAGAACTTAAGATAATCCATTATATTGGTGATTGAGTCATCTAATGTACTTTCATAGAATAGATCCCAGTTGGTATCTTTTAACATGCATCTTAGATTGAGTAAGTTGTCAGATGTGTAGCATCTTTCTTGTGCTTTCGTAGACAGGTGTGAGAAGATTTTAATATGTGTTTTGCTGTATATTTTTGGCAAAACGCGGACAATGCAGTGATCGGAGTTATGTATCGGTGAACGTCTTCGTGTTTCATATACTCCTTCGTCATTAGTAAAAACGAGATCGAGTGTTTTGTCAAGTCGAGTGGGAAATTTGACTATGTTTGTGTGACCAAGAGCTTCAAGAAAGGAACAATCTGATGTGTTGAAGTCTCCAGTAATAACGGATAGAGAGTTGTCGAAGTTGGCAGCAGCAAACATGGTGAATTCATCAGCAAAATTAGATAGATCAGATGGAGAGCAACTAGGAGAAATGTACATGTTTGTAATATAGAATTGTTTATACTTGGGGAGGTGTTTGGGGCGACATTTGACAGTAATACAGTCAATGAAGTCATTTGAGAAGGTGAAGCAGACGTTATTTGAGACAGACCATTTGGAGTGAATAAAAGTTGCAACGCCACCACCATTTTTCTTATTACAACATTGACGGTCTTGACGAAATAAAATAAAGTCCTTTAGTGAGATAAGGTTGTCATCATACAGTTCATGCAACCACGTTTCTTGTAATGCGATTATGGCGGTGTTATGATACGTATCAGTTGACATCAGGGATTGTAGGTACATTATCTTATTTGGCAGAGAGCGACAGTTTGAGTTCATTATGACGGGGACCGTAGTTAAGTGTATTGGTGTACGTTTGAGAGCTCTCTGCCAACCACTACGATGTTTCCTTCTTGGTTTCTTTGGAATATGAAAGTGGTGGTGGATTGGTCATACTCTGAGAAAACCATCAAGTGACACCATACATCAGTCCATCGCTCGAGTGGAAGTTGGATCGGAAGTGGCGAGTTGGTCGTCAGTGCAAGGGTGACTTGGAGTAGGTCATGTGAAGAGCAGATGAAAGCATGTGGGCAGACTTGGAGCCAGGTGGAAACTCTAGCAGAGAATTGAACGCAGTAGAGACGCGCGGCTGAAGCCCTATGTTCTTCTAGGAATTAAAAGAAATAATTATAATAAGAGGAGATATATATATATATATATATATATATATATATATATATATATATATGTAATTTCTGAAATCTATTTGAACATCTGAAGTATTTTTTTCTAAACTTTTCGGAAATTCATTTACTCACATAATTAAAAACTTATTAGATAAGGAAAAAGAAAAGAGAAAGGAGGAAGAGAACTTTGTTTTCTTTCAGAAATAAATGCCTTTTATTTTGCTGAACAGTTTTCATCCTGGCCTATGATAGATACTAAAAAGATAATTTAATAAAGAGAAAGCAGTGAGTGATTAACCCACTTTTGAACTTCTTCAACTTTCAATTTCTTTATGCCTACCTTCTTTCATGATTGCACTTAATTTGATGAAGAAGTAAGTAGGTGAATCAAGGCTATCAATCTGAGAACCTCTACTAAGAAAATACTTTATTTTATTATTATTATTATTAAATGAATTTACTGAATTATATATTTGGTCATTGATTCATTGGATTGGTTCATTGACCACCATTTATTTATAGTATGGATAAATAGTTAATATGAGTTTAACTGTTTGCAGTTAACTTGTTAATCGGGTAACAGAAAACATAAATATGCTCTCCCGTTCTTCTTCTCCCCCTCTCTTAAAGAGATCAGTTGGTTTTTGCCCCTTATTTACTTATTTATTTTTACCATTCGCTTAAAGGAAGGAAGATTTTGTTATTTCTTAACAAATACTTTTTTTCCAGAAGTTGGCTTTTAGGGATTTTATCTTTTTCAGGTGTAGTCAAGGACTGTTATCACTCAGGCGGCCAGGGTGTATTAAACAGATGTTTCTTCCTGGTTTGAGATTCATCATTCGCCGGTGCCGTAACCCAGGACCTTGTGATTACAAGACAAGCTCGCAGACCATTCAGCCAGTGGGATAGGATTCAACGATCCATGAATTCTCACTTCTGCCAAGTCTTGATTTTAGCGCCATCACCAGCCGTTATCGTCTGGTGACCCCATTGGTCACGACTTATCACCTGAACTCCAGGAAATGTCGTCCTATAACCAGCCCCTAGCTTTTTTAAGATTCATTTTCAGAAGTTTGTTACGCAGATATATGATTTGTCTCAAGTTCCATCATGAATGGATATCAGTAAGATATCGATCCCTAGTTTTCAATGATTATCTAAATGACGTCATCAATTCATGGGAGACTTGAAATAAATGCTTATTTTAGTTAAATTCGCAATTTGCGGTTGACACAGTTCTAGGAGGTGAAATCCCACAGCAGTCACCTTCGTGAACGGAGTTTTTCGGATCATAACATGCGATCTGTTGGATACCGTAAAGGGTAATGGGGAGTAAAAAATCCATGGATAATCCCCATCCAGGCATCAATGAAAACAAAACACGTAGATCAGCGAAGAGTCTCTTTTCGGCGAATTCATTTTCTTAGCTGTACAATCACAAATATAAATGTGTTTTTTTGTATGTATGTGTACATTAAGTTTGTCAAACAAAATTACAATTGGTTAAGGTAATTTCAACTAAACAGGTGAAGATTAGTAATACAAGTCAAGAAAATTAGGTGTTAATGAAATTAGGGTAGTAACAGAGGTGATGAGTTGTCACAAACAGTTGTTGTTTGTTAACACTGATCATTGCATTTCAACAAATGCCTCCTTCAAAGTAATCTACAGAGTCAAGAATCACCTATCAAAGGCAATACGGTTTCGTCTCCTTTGTATCGCTGAGGCTCTGGACATTCACATAGAAAAACAGGAGCTGTGCATACAAAAGAAGATGACTCAACTACTTCTTCTGTCATGGTAACAATGTTTTGATTTGTTTTGGTTTTTTTATTTTTTATTTTGATGACTTATTTTTGTTTCTTTGCCTGTTCTTTAATAGCTTGTAATTCTTGTATTCACTTAGATCTCTTGCATAATTTCGTATTATCTACTTTGTTTCTATGTGCATCCTGAGTAAAAACCTCAATCATCAAACTATTCATGTTATTATTACATAACTTCTTTTAACAACTGTTTGTGACAACTCATCACCTCTGTTACTACCCTAATTTCATTAACACCTAATTTTCTTGACTTGTGTTACCAATCTTCACCTGTTTATTTAAAATAACCATAACCAACTGTAATTTTGTTTGGCAAACTTAATGTACACATACATACAAAATAACACATATATAATTACAACCGAACAGCTAAATGAATGAATTCGCCGAAAAGAGACTCTTCGCTGATCTACGTGTTTTGTTTTCGTGAATTAAAAATCAGTTTGAACGAAGAATATTCTTTTTCAATAAATTCTCTTCAAGTTCTTACAATGATCAGATATAGTATTCGTTGTCGTTACAGTAATGTTCAGTTATTCGATGGATACATTTTTACCTAGGATAACATATTAGTAGCTAAAGAATGACAAAATAAATTACGTTCATATGACACACGTAACAGGCTGAAAGTGGTTACAAAGTGTTGTGAAATCCAAGGCGGTGATGACGCTGCTCAGTCATAATAGATTCGTATAGTGAGGGGGAAGAGAAACAACATGTCATTTCAAAGTAATAAAGGGTATTTGTCCCGTGAGTATCTAGTACAAAACAGTATGAATTAATGAGGAGATGGTAAGACTGTGTGGTGAATAGTACATCTTGAAACAACCAATATGTGAAATGAAACAGGTGGAGGCATATATTACGAAAAGAGGCAATGTCACTAATAATAAGTTCAAATATTATCAATGGAAAATTCAATAGTGTTGAAAGGATACTGGATTGCAGGGAATAAATTATAGTAAATGATAATGATTATAACAAATTTCGGTAGACGAAGCAAAAGCAGGGGTAAGAGGAAAAAGGCACTTTTGGAGAGGAGAAGAAATTTTAATCCACGTTTAGTTGTAGTAGGAACAGCGTCTGAACGTTTTCTTTTTGAATACAAGGTTCCGATTTGGTCGACTTGATTTCAGTGCCTGCAGCTACATAGAGAAGACATAGGCAAACTATTTGTGATAAGGACTTCGGTGTGTGATATATAACCCTGGAGGCTGTGTTGGTACCGATGCGATGTCCACTGTAGAACAAGTGTGAAGCAAGTTGGTAAATATCGTCGAATCCGTAGACAAACCTGCCTAACCATACACCCCATATAACTGGGATCACAAGATCAGTTGCAAAGGCTTGTACATTTAGAACTGCTGAAATTAGAATCAAAAACAAGCATAAATGTCGACTTACCACTGACCATATTTTCATTAAAAATGAAAGTGTAGTGAAAGTACGATTGCTTACTTGATTACCATTCATGGTATCAAGCAGATCTATCACCTTTTGTGGTGATCTGAATAATTTCGGTGTTCAGTGGAAACTGTAGTGAAGTTCCACCTCCTCGTACTGTATAAATTGCGATTTGTGAATTTGATTCAAGCTTATTAAAAGTTCATCTAGGTAAATAGCTAGAAATTAGGTGGTTTGAACTGATTCAGATCTATGATCTGGGTTAATTTCAGGTAAACTTCTGATTATCTAGGCCCCAAGTTAGCGAAACGGCCGTCTGGTGTTAAGATTACTTCGATATTACCAGCCAACAAACACTACTGCTTTATATGAGTAGTATAAAACTGCTCAACTGCTTTTGTTCACCTTCTTATTCAATGCGAACTCAGCTTCTCCTTTCGTTGTCCATCTTTGCAATAGTTCACCTTCTGTTACACAATCCACTCTTAGCTTACACGTGTTCACAGAGCACCATTCCTTGTCTTCCCTCAGTTTTCTTCCTCATAAGGCTATGTAGGTTTCTTTTAAATTCACTTTCATTGAGTCTCATTGTTATTCCAAACAGGTTTCTTCGGTAATGTTATGTGATGTCTCCAAATTAGCTCTGACGGTTGCAGTAAATGCCTCTCTTGTAGGTTCGCCTTTCACTCTGTGAGTGTTGAAGTTGACTGGATGGTTATCTCCAGCCTTTTCTGAAGGCTTTCAGCTTGACTTTAGAGGCTCTTCGCAATACATAATGGTCTGTGCCCATATTGGTAACATTCACTTTTCATTTTGAAGAATTACCATTATCGGCACTTATTCATACACATAGCTAACTTATATTTCGTCCTCAACACCCTGGATAATAGATGTGAAAACAACTGCGTATTCAAACAATCTATAAAAGAAAAATACCTATTCAAAAATGTTTAAGTTTTATGGATTGTAGCGCAACCATTTTCTGTGAAAACAAGTCACACACATACACACATGAATAAATTTGCAATTAACATTTATTCAAAGACATTAAGGTGTGGACGACACTGAAAAAACGTTTTATCCTGCTCATTACAATAATTCGATAATAAACAAAATTACTCTCAGTTGTTCATTTGGAAGTTACATCATTAACTAACATCATTTAGATTTTTTGTCTAAATATACAACGCATTGACATGAAGGTTAGTCAGTATTGAAACGCATTTAAAACACAAGTCGCAGGCAAAGGAGACATCGCGACACTAACGCCACCATCTTCATTCACAACTCTTCCTTGTGTCTCATCAAGCAGAACCAGAAGCCTATATAAGAAACTATATGCTCACACTAGCAAGTAAAAAAACTCAACTATGCCCCACTAAGCTCGTGTTCTGAGCCATAAAGAAAGCATTTGGCGTGACAC